TAGCATCCTCTTCTCTCCATTAACATTGCATGTAACATTCGTGAACCCCTTATTGCCCCTTTCATGCAGTTAGTGAAATTGGTGGTAAGGGACTGGGCCAAAAACTTGTGGGGCTGGAGTTAGAAAACAGATGATGAAATGGATGTTGTCATTGTCCTGCCAGCCTACACCGCTGTTGTTGCATAGTATCTTCCTTGAGGATCAAGATACTTTCATGGAAGGCCAAAGTCATTTACATTTTGGAATGTTGATCTTATAAATCACTTAGTACTCTGAAAGCCATATGTATTCTTTGAATGACCATTGCTTTCTCAAGGGGTCATATGTATTCAAAATTGTAAATGTATCTCTGTTTTCAAATATTCTAATAGTCATTCTTTGGGTCTGTCTAACCTGTGACAATCCAAAGAAGCTATGCTTCACTGATAGTAATGAAAAGTTCACAATGTGATCATTTTTATTTTATTTCATATCGCAAAATTGCGTTAAAGTTGGTATTCAGGTTTGTTTGATTAGTTTAAAAGTGAGTGTCGAGAGTCAATTGCAGGATGATGAATCTATGTTTGAATTTTGTTAGAGTTTAATTTTCTTGAAATCGTACCTATAAGATGCTTATCAATATTATATTAACAATGGCCTGTGGAGAGAGTTAGAACGTTAGTGAACACTACACACACGGTGCAAAAATGAGTGAAAGAAGGGAAACGTTGGACAGGGATGTAAGGTGAGGGAACAGAAAGCCAAAGCATTTGACGAAGAATTCTGCCTTTCTGTGAAGAATTTTGTACCATCAGGGACGGCAGAGGCAAAGGTTAGTCAATATGCGAGCTGGATAGCCAGAGCGTATGATGCAGCTTTGCCCAGAAGAGGAGCTACCGCTCGACGTTCACCAGTGGAACAAAGTCATCGCCCAACAGCGTTGACCTGCCTTTGAGCCAGAAGACTACCAGCGAGCTCGTGGCAAAGATACTTTTGTTCAAGTCAAGAACAATGTAAATTGACTTGAAGCCAGTTGAAGACCGCAATCCGGAAAAGTAAACACCTGTGTGATGAAGGAGATGAAAGTGTATGTGGTAGGTGTTGCAAGACGGTCAAAGGCATGTTTATAAAGTCGCATATCCAGTCTCCAATATACCCTAATATTCTTCAAAGCGATTGTAACGACTTTATTCCCGCTCATTACGCAGCTTCTGACTGGACATGGATGCTTCGGAGCCTACCTCCATAGGTTCAAATTGATTGACACTCCATACTGCCCTGTGTGCGAACCTTCTGCCAAGGACACCAAACGTGTGTTTTTGTAGTCCTCATGTTTCAAACGTCAATGACAAGTCGCCGTTGAAATGCTTGGGATAGGCCAAAGGACTTCAGAATACCTAGTTGCACATATGCTTGCTTCTGAAAGCATTGGAGGGCAGTGTGTAATTTTGCCCGAGTAATATTGCTGGAATTAAGATGCCTGGGGAAAGGAAAGAGGGAAATATCTTGATCCCACTCAATCAATACTGGGAAAATACTATATAATATAAAAATACTAATAAAAATAAATATGTTGTGCTTGGGTCACTATTCTGTTCCCAGCGATGAAATGCCTGTAGGTGGTTCTACAGGGAGAATACAGAGGGACCAAAGGAGGTTTGGTTTTAGCGAGCAAAAATCTCACACACATAGTATAGGCCCAGATCTTTTGACAATTTCCACCTACACTTGTAAAACACGCACACATAAAGATAAAGAATTGCAAACGAAGTTAATACAAAAGTTAGATTTTCTTCATGATCAACTTGATGTGGTTTGGGAACAGGTGATATCCCAAGATAATTTTATATAATTAACAACATAATATCCACATTATAAAATATGGATTTTGTAATAATCACTTGGGAGAGATTTTTAAAGAAATTTGTTTTTATTTATTAGGATCATTTTTCTCTTAGAAAAGTGAGTCATGGACTCAGTCTCTGAAGAAAAATTTATATTAAATTGTGTTCACAATTTTTTCTAAAATAAGCATTTTATAAGTGATTTTTGTTAGTGATAAAAAGGAAAATAATATTTTAACAATGATATTTAATGAATTCATTAACATTTGAACTGTACAATTTTAAAAGATGAAATATTCCTATAACAAGTAACATACTTAAGCTTCCGAGTCAATGGCCCCATCTCAATCAGTTTTTTTGTGCTGTTTCCCTGATACATTAAGAAAGTGCTGAGTCGACTCTATGTTTTGTTTATGAACTTGTAGCTTCACTATGCACACCCTCCTTTTGTAAGTTGTATTAGGAGTAGAACAATAGGCTTACTGTAAAATAAAATCTGAAGTACAGTTTACCGATGCAAATAAGTTTTCTGTAACTTGAGAGTGAACCTTTGTAATTTTCAAATTATGCTAACTTCACTTGGTTGGTACTTTTATTAATTGGTTGCGTAGGCTTCCGCGGCCGGAGTTTGTGTTGTCTAGGCTATCCGGGACGAGCCGTGTCACTAACATGATGGCTCAGAGTACGCTCTGAAGAAGGCCACAATACGCTGGCCGAAACGTTAGCCCCCGTGTCATTGACGCGGCTCGTCCCGGAATGCCTAGACAACACTTTTATTAATTATATAACAATTTATGACTAAAAGGTGAGGACAGGACTATGGAGCAGATGAAAAAGAATAATGAAGATTGTACTTTTACCCCACGTCTTATACATTTCCGTTTATTTATTTGACATAATACAAGTTCAGCGGGAAACCCCAATTACAGGACTATATGCAAATTAAGCCCAACATCATGACATTCACAAATATAAAATACAATTCTGTGAATAGGACATTAGAAAAAATACAGCGTACATAGAACTTAAATTTAACACCATGCGGCACACAAATATAAAATTATGATTATAGGGATAGAACATTCAATTATTACATATTATTGAGATATTTTTTAATATCAATAGTTAGAGGGAAGATGGAATCAACAAAGATATCTGCATCAGATACATTGTTGACTAAAAGATATTAGTTGACCCCATCATTTTAAATAGTCTTGCATTATACAATAGATCGTTTGTTACAGTAAATCACGTCCTTTTCACTTTTCACTGGACTCTAGGGAAATTATGTAAAAAAGGGTAAATTATTTTTTCTTCAAGAACAGTATTTATTTAGATACATACAATCAATTAGGATTATAATATGCTTTAATATGCAGTATTCGATAATAATCAATATTACAAGAACAAATAGAAATCTGACCAAAATTTACGATTTTGGAAATCGAAGGACCGATTTACCGAAGCACTGAAGGTTGCAATGACACTTCCACGAGTCCCTGTATTCCACTGATTGTAGCTTTTAACGATGCAACAATGCAAAATGTGCAGGAGGATGACGTAAAATAAACAAATGATCGTGAGGCTACTTCTCTTAGGCCTTACGCGCGTAACCTAACGCTGATGACTGTGCACACGTTACATAACGCGCGTCGTAGTGTAACACTATCTTATATACGAAAGGGTATACGAGCGCTCTTAGTGACGTGCATTTTGCCCAGCGTTGGCAACCACGCACGTCGCCAAGAGCGCTCGTGTGACGTTTCACGTAAGATAATGTGTTAATCTACCACGCGCGTTAAGTGATTCGCGTGCACAGACATTGACGCAAATGGCGTCCTCAGCATTAGGTGACGCGCGTCAACTCAACACAACTCTCGCGTGGCACAGACCTTAAATTTTTCTACCAATGCATATTATCCATATTTTCTACCTTTTTAAATATCTCTGTAATGTTACGAAATGGAAATTTGTACATTTAATTTTTCACTATTTTTTAAATCTTTCAGTGTTCATGTAGCATTTCATAACTTTATAATATCGCACCATTTCCATAGTCCTGATATGCGGCGCGTTTTTGACGCGGCAAGGTGGTGGGATAGTGCAGCCCGTTTTGCGCAGCGCGAAATGCTTTCCAGACGGTTATGGGGCAAGCAGACTTGTAAATTTCGGGAAAACTTAAATTATATTCTCGTAAATGAAGGGTATTTATAACATTATGATTATACGAAAACTAATGGGACAGACAAAAAATGTTGTAAAGGCCGGGAAAACGTAAATTGGGAACGTAAAAGCGGGGTTTCACTGTATTTGATTATAGGACAGTCTGTGCGAACGTCTATTTTTTGATGAAAATAAATTAAGTCAAACCAGCTCTATATCAACTTAACATCACCCACGTTTTGGTTAAACATTGCAAGTGGTTTTGACTACTTCTTATTATATTTTTAAAGATTTTTAAAGAGATTTTAATGTATTGTGATGTGTTAATGTGTTGGATCCTAGCATTTGTTATTTTGCATAATGTAATGTAATTATTTGCATCAACGAAGTTTTACATCAGAACAAATTTATGTCTGATGTGTTGTACTTTTCCCAGCCATGAACAAAGTGAAATACTGTTTTGAAATGTTGGCAAGTTAGAACTTATAACCTTTCTCAACCAAATCTCACCAATTAGTGAACCAATATGTTTTTTTAAGATTCCAATTATTAAATTTTTTCTAGATATCTTCATTTTTTTTAATTAGTAGGAATATTTTTCAAGGAATCTACAACTAAATTTTTATGTCATTAAACATTTATTGAAATTTTCATGTTTTTAATAATTTGTGCTTTTTCAAAATTGCCCATTTTAGTTCTTTTTCAAAACAGCTCCTCAAAAAATTATTTCAGTATGTCTTATGTTGACAAATACTCTGCTGTTGTTTTTAAGAAAAGGATACCTTGTGATTGAAATGCTACATAATATTTCAAACTCTCATTCACATACATTTCAAATTTAATACAGTAATATTTTTTCCCCAATTTTGATTCTATATTGTATATATAATTTCCACACTTTTAAAATAATTAAATTTGATCATGGGATATGGAATGTTTAAATGTGGAAAAATATATGGGCTTTACTTGTAGTTCAAGACTTTTACATAATAACTGTTTTTTGTTAAATACCAGGGTGAGAACATTTTAACCTGCAATAACCATCTATGAGCATCAACATGCAGTAAAATACACTAGAATATGTGAGACACATGATTAGCATAATTAGAGGAGATTAAAGAGAAATAAAGAATTTAAGAGTCAATCTGAAACTGTTAGTCAGTGATTTGAGGTAAGTCATTGTAGGAGCAACTAGCAGGCATATCACTATACGAGTCAATTCAATTTAATCTTTCAGGTAATAAGTTAACTAGGTTCACAAATAATATGACACCAACTTAACCTTTATTTTACCAGTGACACAGATAGAAATGGATTGCTGTTTTCCGGATGTTTCATCAGAAACTATGGAGATTTGGTGGGTTCACTTGAAGCAGTTCAATAAGAACTATATCAAAAGAAGAGCAAAACTAAAAATGCCCTTTTTTGCTGCATCTCAAAAGATGGCAACTCTTGTTTGTAACATTGGACATAGTATGAAATTATCCAGAGAAATCCTCTTGTCTTCTGTTTTGTTGTTTGACAGGTAATATTTCTACTGAGTATTGGCCAATTCACATTAGTTCTAGCATGAGTGGTTTCATTTCAGCTATTTTGCATGTTGTATCGCTGGTATTAAGATGCATTCTTATATGTGATATAAATATAGCCTAATGCATTCTTTCATGTGAGAGTGGAAGATGTTTTGTGAGAGAGGGTAAATATTTGAACATTGATGATCCTTTACATTTTATAATTAGTTTGCAGGTTCATGTTAAGTGCAGCTGTTATTGTCTTTATCTTTAAAATATTTTATGCATTATTTTTTTCTCCAGGTTTATGAGTTTTTCCTTTAATAAGATGAATGAAGAAAAGTCAAACATAAAGAAAGAACAATGGATGGAAACATTACAGAATAGTATGGTTTTAACAATCTGCTCTTGCTTACAACTGTCTTCAAAAGCCCTGGGTCAACATCAAGTATGTTTGGTGCTTGTGTTCTGTATTCGATTTTTTGATAATTTGTATAGAGTTCATGTCCTGTAAAATATGAGATTGTTCCCCAAGTCCCATTTATCCCGAAAACTTTTACAGGACACCAAGAGGCACTATATTTTGCTTTGTCTTTTTTTCTAGCAAGACAAAAAACCCATCACTTTCTGCTGAAGATTATACAAAAAACAACAACAACAAAAGAGTCAAGAGACCTTAATGCCCCTTCCCTTCTCACATCTCATAGGTCCAAAGATTTTGTAATATGTGTACATCCTAATCACATCAAGCACAGCTCTGAAACAAAGCTTCTTTTCACTTATACATTTCAAAAAGGGTGCAATGTATGGAAACAATTAACATTCAAAATGAAATCAGTTACCATTGCCTATGAGATTATTTTTTTCCTTTTTCTGTATTCCCCATAGTTGTCAAGTTCATTCATTGCACGTGGAAGTTTAATAAAATGCTTTATTTCCTTATGTTTTCAATAAACTTTTCCTTCTAGAATTTCAGATCTACATTTTGTATCAATATCCTCATAACAAAAGTTAAAGAAACTTAAATTTACTTTTAAATTAGTTATTTTATGGAATTTACTATTCTATCTACATACGATTGAAAGTTACAGATTTTTAAATTCTTTGACATTTTCAATTTGGTTTTTCATGAGCGCTGATCACAAAATCAAACTTTTGGGAGCTTGAACCCTTTTCCTAATTTTATTCTCCAACAGAAAAATACTGTTTACTATAATGACCAGTGCTTTATTAAAAATTTAAAGAAAAAGAGAATATCCTATTAATTGATGCAAACCTTTTGTGATTTCCCAACACCTTCAAAATAAACATTTTGGTGACCCATATTTTTGTTAAAAAAATATGAACCCTTAGAGATTGTGTTATGTGTTAAATCCACTTAAGTGCTTGAATTTTAAATAACTTCTCATTAATTTTCTTCCATTTTTTAATAAAAAAAAAAAAAATTATTTAAGGTTGCTTTTTAACAAAGGTCACGAGCAACTTAGTTGTAGTATGTTTAAGTAACTTCATATAGTAGTAGATAAGCTAAGTTAATGGTGAACTGCAACTTGAAGATTTTGGCCAAGGAATTCCATAATTGTATCAGTTGTGAGAACTTGCTCCTATAATGTTTGCTTTGTAGGCTTTTATTTTAGAAACATATTATTGCAATAATCCCTAAATCCATTTGTAATGATATTTATCTTCCTGTTGTTTTAGGTTCAAGTAACAGATATTTTGAAATTCATGCTAGAACATAATCATAAAGTTACAAAAACCGAAGTGTTGAAATCAGAACAAAGCGTTTTTAAAACTCTCATGTATAAGGTAATTAAAATAGGTTTCTTTCGTAATGCAATTTATATAATTTCATAACAAGTTTTATTCACTTCAAAAATTTCTCATAGTGGAGTTGGGTTTTTGCATTAAAATGTAGAACACAATCTGTGAAGTAATAAAAAAATGATAGAAGTCATTTAGAAATTCACCCATTTGACATTTTAGTATTAAATGTAAAACCTCAAGAATTACTACGTTTTTTCTCATAATACAATGAAAATTTAATTTTGTGACTTGTGTAGCTGATGTGTAGTATAATTATGTTCACCTTGTTTTTTTCAATTCTTTGATGTTATATTTTTAAAATGTCATGACAAGAGGAAAGTAGTTCTTTGTCTGTTGCAGGTTCCAGCCTTTTCTCCCTTAATATATGTAGAAACACTGGTTCATTTGCTTCCTGTGAAGAAGCTGAATTTGGCCTGTTCAGTGTTTATGGAGACCTGCGTACAATTTATGATGATTGCATATTGTCATCACCAAGTTTTGTATGACAGTCTCTACTACATTTTTACATCAAAGGAAACATGCCTTTACAAAGATCGGTGCGTGTGATTGTGAGAACACTGCAATTAATAGATTATTACACTAGTGAATCAATCACTCTGCAAATGAAAAATATCCCTTTGAATTTTCATGACTGTTTTCTATATAATATAAAATATACCTTCTATAGACCTTTGGACTAAGGGCTGGATTCATATCTTCAGATATTAACTACATATAAGCAATGTTATTGGGTCCCTCCAATAACGCTGAAATATTGAACATAAGTAACCAAAATCAATATGAAAATTAAGCTAGAACCTTTCAGTCTACTATTATAGTATTCAAATAACAAATACAATATATACGCGTACATATGTATATTAAAATTAGTTTTATCTACATATTTGTGTGGTACTTTTTTAAACAAAATTCATAATCAAATTTTAAAATTCTGAATTAAGATCACAATTTTTCTGTATTGTTAACAAAAAAATCAATGAACATGTACATAAGTCTTGTTGAAAAACATCTTTGGGGGCACCGGTTTAGGCTGCTTCCTATTCCTGAGTGGACCTCAAAAAAATGGTTTGAAGTTACCTGGGGATACTTCCTTTGTATATATCTCAAGTAGGGCAATGCTCTGAATTGTAGCAATTATACATTGATATCTTTATAAATTATGCAAATATTGCTCCGGCATTAAATAACTACCATTCTATTTATTTTTTCACTATTTAACACATTTACTTTCTCGAATACTACTTACATACTTCAGAGAAAGTATTGTAATGCTGCAGCAGAAACTGTCATTTTATGCAGATAATTTTTTGAAGAAAAACATGTTTTTGTGATCCCTTATAAAAAAATTTGTGGATAATTCTTGTTCCTACATGTAATATTTTCTAATTAATCTGGCCGATAATGTGGCATCTTTTATTCTCAATGGATATTTTGATTTGTAGTGGTCCTTTACAAGTAGCTTCAAGGAAATTTTAAAAATTTTCTCCGAAAAAGCTCCAAATCTTTTCTTTAATTCTTTTTCTCAAATAGAGAATGGTATGCTTATAAAAATGGTTCAGCTCCAATTTTCATTGCATTCTTCATGAAAATTGTAAAAGTTTAACATTTTTGCATCTTCCTACAACCATATTATTGAAAATAGTATTTTTTCCTTCAACCCATTTACTTCCAAATTCATTTTGTTCATCTGGCACTTGCTCATTGTTGCATTCATGCGCACACGGTCGTTGTTGGTCACTGTCATATTGGAGCCTTCTGGCAGCAAGTTTTTGCAACTTTTAGTGCTAATCAATTGTTGGGTTGCTAAATAATTGTTACTAAAGTGCTCCAAAGTGAAAACTGTTGGTTACACGAGAATTTTTTTCTATAAGAAGCAAAACCATTAGAACTGTCCTCAAATGAGGACGTTAATGAAATCCATTCTTCAAAATTAAATTTTTAAATAAGGTCATGTACAATTTGCTCAAAATATGAATAATTGTGATTTGGCTTTAAGTATAGACAATTTTGAAAACAATATTTCCTGTAAAAAAAAGCTCTGTTTTAAAAAAAACAAATTATAACTTTTTATCTTCGGATAGAGCAAACAATGCTCTAAAAATGGTGCAGGTCACATTTTCTTTGAACTCTGTGAATTTTCGAAAATTGCAAAAGTCACAAATAATGCGTGAAAGTATGTACTGTTGTAGCTTCACTTGTTACATATATTTTTTTATTTTCAAAAATACATGGATCTAAGTCCTTTTCTAGCCAAACTAGTTACAATGACACATAGGAGAAAGTACATACAATTGTAACAATGTGTGTTTTATGAACTCACAAGCACTGTGGAAAAGCATTTGGTGAAGTATAAGTAAGTAAATGAAATAACGAAATCATGCAAATTCAAGCATTTTTTGCTTGATTTCTAAATGTTGCGTATGATAGTTCGAAAATATCAATTTTATGAGCGTTGACTAAGGTACAAATTATATTTATAGGGTTATGGTTGGTATATTATTTACTTATTTTATTAATTAATAAATAAAAAATATATTTTATTGTAAAGTTGTGAATTTGAGTTTTGGTCAAGAGACACTGCATGTTGCAATTCATTTCCACAGTGTGGAATTTCTGCGCGTGGAGCTGGACCAACTGTATCTCGCAGGGGCTGTGGTGGTGGCTGCAGAACGTGTGCTGGCTCCAGATGCACGTGAGACCTCAGACTGGCTATTGTCCCGGGTGCGCCATCTCACAGGCATTCCCACCCGTGAAGTGATGCGCTTAGCCACCATCCTCTCGGACATTGCTGCAGATGTCCCCAAGAACCCCAAAGCGACTTCATGAACTAACTTTGACTTGAAGTTTGGGTTCTACACATATATTTTCTTTTACATTTTCCATGTTCGATACAATTTATTTAGGCATTTATTAACATTCATTTGTAGTGGTATATTCTGATTGTTGTGTTATTTATTGTAATTATATTCACTCTCTTTCTTGAAGATTCAACTTTGACTCAATCTTAAAATTACTTACATTGATTGTTGCCAAATATGTGTAATCTGAAGCAAAATGCTCTAACTTCTCCAATTCTGACAGAAATAGACTCCTGAAGTTTATTTTTCTTTCTCTACCTTCAGTAAATTTTTTTGTGTAAGGCATTTATCTTAATCAATTTTGTTTTTCTACGTGATCTAGATATGCTACATGTTCTAGAGATACTTAAATGTAATTTGCTTTATTCATATTTTTTTTCCAGGTAGTACCCAAATGCTATACAAGAACAAGAAGAAACATTTAATCACAGAATAAATAATAAACAAATATAAAAAATGTTGAAAAATTCTGAGTTACAAAAACTTATTTACAAATTACTTAAAATTATTATATTAAAATATTACTTATTTATATCATTTTTAAGTTAGGATGTTGACTTTTCAATTCTAAAAACTCCTTAAACTATATGGAATCCAAACTGACCAAAGTCAAATTTCTTATATGTTTTCCAATTCATTAATTGTAAAAAAAAATCTATTGTACGATTTATTTTCTAATTAACCTTTAAAAACCCATTCTGATGTTAGTGAATGCTTAGAATTATGTTCTGTTATCTATTCATTTTTATTTATCCTGAAATACTCATATTGGAATTTTTAATGTACTAAATTTTAAGAACCTTCAAAATTTATTTTTCCACTTTCAAAACCTCTCCAAATGACATTTTTCTTGGTAAAGACTATGGTCTGCATTCACAGGTTTCACTGACATGGATTTTTGAAGTCATTATGTGGAAATTCACTTTACTTGGTAAATGAATTTTCAGCTATTTTTTTATTATTTTGCATTACATAGTTTCAGTAAAATGTTTTTTATCTATATATTTGCAACCAGTAAAAAGAATTGTGGTAAATGGAGGGAGTGAAGAAAATATTGGAAAATGACATTATGATTTATTACAATCAAACTATAATTGATATAAGTCCTACAAAAGTGTTCTTTTTTACATTTTGAGAAAACATGTGTAGCTTCAACTTTCAATTATACCGATCAGAATGTAGCCAGGAAAATCTCACCCCACCTGAGCCAAGTCAGATCCTATTGAAAATCACTTGGGAGTGATGGAACTGCAGAGAGACTTTTCTGGCACATTGGATAACAATTTTCCATGGACTTGATGTGGTAAACTGACCCCCGTTGAGATGAGCAGATTCTGAGCATGGGTAAATAAATCTGTTGGAATGCTGACCCCTAAGACCATTGGTGAAAGTGAAAGTATGAGAGACAGTAGATGTGGATGATTTTGACTGGCAAGCAGCTCTGAGATATATGTCTTCAGAAGAATTTGTTCATTCATAATTAATGTTTATGTTAAAACATGGTTTAATGCTTCTACAACTACATCGGACACAACCAAGATTTTAACCTTGTTAAAATCTTAATTAATTATGAAAAAATTGATGGAGACATTTCAAAGATAGCACTCTATAAACTTGAGAGTAACTTGTGGTATTTGCACTTAGAACACGTTTTTTTCACTTTTTGTATCAACTTAAGTCAAATCAAATTGAACATGGCTGCAAAATTCTTGTCTTTTCAGCAAACAGGGATAACGATGATGGTGATGGGCTCTTTGAGTTTGAGGAAGAATACACTCAAGATAGGGTAAGTCAAGTCAAAATCACTTTGAAAGGACTTCATTCTTTTTTGGGCAAAAAGGCGATAGACACTGTAACATAACTTCGTATCACAACTAATATGAAAGTTCTTCAAAAGTTCAACATTCAACTAATTTCTTTCATTCTAGTCTAGATGTTTCAAATACAGACCTGGATTTTTTGAAAGGTTAGGGGAAAGTCAAACATTTCAGGGTTGTAAACAAAACAGCTGAAGAGGTTGTCGAATTATTCAACAATGAAACGTGAATCAAAGAACAGAGTATGTTTTGCAAGTAGTTAGTCAATGTCGAAAATTATTCCTAGATGGAATGAAATATACCCTCTCAAAATTTAATGACCTAGTTGATTCTGGTAAAAATCTGACACATCTTTATTATTTTAACATACCTACATATTGCATTATAGTGAAAGTTTACTCATAAAATCTGCTATATTTCTTCTTTCAACTTCTCAAAATTGTTTCTGTAATAATTAAGTACAATGTTTTAAATTATTTATGATTTAATTATAACCTGAACTGAAGATCTTGATCCTGAGGTAATCTGCCTGGACTCTCCCTTGAATCTAATTTAATCTGCCAGGACTCTACTGGAATATCAATGATCCGAATTCGCCATACCTCATTAGTGACACTGGTAATGGATCACCTGTCATCACTTGTGACCTGCTCGGCATGGTATCATTCTTAATTTTGTCTCAATTTCATAATGTGTTTAACTCTAAGTGCTCATGCCTTGACTTGTTTTTTTCTCATATAGTCTCTGGGGTTTTCTCATATAGTATCTTGAATGATATTGATTGGACAACAGTAACTAATGGTTCCAATGTGGAGACAATAAGTTGATATATTTTATATTATTTACTACCTGACAATTTTATTCCAACAAAAAGGCATTACATAGATACTTATCCTCCATGGTATGGCAGGGAGTTCACTATACACTGTAAAAAAGTTACATAAAAATTACAAATCAAGGAGAAAGTCTTTGGACTGTGTTAAATTTTCTGAATGTTGATTGAAATGTACCTTGCTACAGAAACATTGTTACATTTCCTATATAAACAAGGTTGAAACAGCTCTTAATACCAAAGTCTAAAACTTCTGGAGATTTGTTAATGGTTGTAATGAGTGAGATTTGGTTACACCTTCAACTGTGCTCTACAAAGATGTGCTGCCATGGGGCCAAATGTTTTGCTGATTTTTTAAGACTAAATTTTGCACTGATGACTACTTACTGCTAATTGATCATCCACAATCACAGTCAGGAGGCTCACATTTATCTCATCTAGTGGTGACTCATATCATATGTGTTTATGAGGGTCTTTCAAAGTCGCATGATAGTAAGTGGGCTGATGGCATGCCAAATGTCTTTCTTAAGTCAGGTCATGCATTAACATTATTGTTGTTATCTTTCATCATTATTGTTGATCTTTGACAAGTCTCTTCAACCAGCGGTATTTCCATAAATTTGGAAACAGTAAAATCATACCCTTTTTTAAAAAAAAGTTTATAAATAAAATGTTGAAAACTATCATCCCATTTTCATTTTGAATTCTGTTGCAAGTAACACAGTTTTTGAAAACTTAAGTTACCAAACACCTATCTAGAGTTCTGAAATCTGGCATTATTGAGAATCAACATGCCTTTATGCATGGAAAATCCACTTTAACCAACTTAACGAATACATCACGGTAAAAATGGAAAAGAGAAACCAGGTTGACGCCGTCTACACTGATTTTAGAAAGGTGTTCAACAAAGTGAACTATAAAATCTTAATTACTGAACTGGCTATCTTGGGTCTCAACATGCAATTAGTTGCTTGGATCAAAGATTGTTTGTGTGATATATAAGGCAGTTTTTGTAGATGATAGGTTGTCACAATTTTATGAAATTCCTTCTTGTGTACCACGAGGATCTCAAACGGGACCTTGTTTGTTTAATATTTTTATTAACGATCTTGATTGCTGTATTTTGAATTCCAACTTTCTAAAATTTAATTCAATATTGTATTTGTAGGAAGATATTGAAAAACTTTGAACTATTGCAATTTTCAAAATATTTCAACAAAAATAAGGCCTTTGCCATCCAAGGCCAAATTAAATTTAAAAACTTGGAGCAGTTTTGGAGAAAATATTGAAAATTTTTTGAAGACATCTCGTAAAGTACCCTCCAAAATCTAAATATCTATTTCAAACTCAGTGAGCCTGGAGTTCATTTTAATTGATACAGGAATATTAAGTTTGGAGAAAATTGGCTGAACAGAGTACATGATAGCGTTGACCACAGATAAATGGACAGACCATCAAACAATTTTTCAGTATTATTGACCCATAAAATGGATTCTGATTACACGTGTTAGACAAAGTTATTTACTATACATAGGAACAAGATCATTTCATTATGAGGGCCCGGCACTATGAGTCGTTTTGTAAAAAATTCGTTTTTCCGGTGCACAACTACAATACTTTCTCATCTTATGAAGTAAGGGTGAAAAAGTAAAAATCCGTTTCAAATTTGAACGTAGCTTAACAAGGAAACATCCATTTTGGAGCAAGTCTTGTGAGTGTCAAGTTAGTATCAGAGAGTATATAACAAGTATTCAGAGACCCCCAAAACATGGCATTTGACCATACAATGTATATAAGAAAGTAATATATCAGCTTTCCTCAACTACAAATTCTGTTGCCTCTGCACAATGGCATGGTTGAGACTTGCAGACAGATCACTTGGGATAGAACGAAGCAAGAAAAGTCAATGTTTTTGGTATCAAGAATCCACAAAAATATTTTGTCAAAACATCAGCACTTTTACTGCAATTTTACCATATTTCCTCTACATTACATACATGGTTAACATTAAACCATCAGAACAATGAAAGTAGTGTAATATTAACATTGCAATAGGAAATTTTTTATCAATTTCCTACCAGGTTGCATTTCAATTTTAAGTCATCTGCATAACCACGATGTTGTTGTGGTTTGTAAGCCCATGCTGATCTAGTATATATTTTCAGAACAAATGTAGTTCATAAGCTCATTGGTGCTTACATTTCTTTTACTTAAGAGAGCTATGTTGCATCTATGTGCTGTAACGTGGCTGTAGCCTGCAGGCCTCTCGCACTGCACTTAATCTACCATTCTCTTACTAATTTACTAGAAGGATCAGGGATGATACATGGAGTAATAGAAATGAAAACCATGTCACAACTCAACTAAAAACATCCAGCCTTTGTGTAATGTGTTCTTGAACAATCTTGCTCCAAGGACGTGCACCTTTGGACCAGCCTCCATCAGGTAGGTTTAATGAAGAATAAGTTACATTTCATTTCATTTGGGAAGGTCAAATAAAAATAGATAATTTGGGATGATGTGGATTGAATGGGAACCCTAATACAGCAGGATGGATCTTAATAATTTTATTTTTTTCTGACATTTTATTGCTTATTGTCTTCGATACGGTGCTCAATATAAATGTTACTGGAACTGGATCTTGGTTACCATGGAAACATGAAAACTGTTGAATGATACCAAGTGATCTCTTATTGCGGGAATTTTGGGACGGAAATATGAAAAGCCAAACCGAGTCAAGTTAACATCTAGTTAATTAGTAAAGATGTAAATCTGAATCATTAAATTAAGGTAAATCAATATCTTGTACGAACCATTGACTTTCACTGGTTCTAATGATCATGGGCCAAAGGTCCCCAGAATTCTTGTCACTACATGATCGTTAGAAACCGTAACACCTTTGGTACATAGATAACATTTCATGTTTAGTTCAGTTCACAAAAGGTGAAGATCACATTCACTGTCTTGTTAATGAAGAAATCAATACTGAAGTATTTGTTTTGCACAAGGTTTCCAAGAAACTCATTTTATTCATGAGTAAAAGTTATATTTAAATATAAAAGAAATCATTGAAGCAAATTTAATATATTTTCAGTATATTAATTACATGCAGGTACAACAGTAACTCATACAATATATACAAAGTAGAACACATGTTTATCTCACATTCTAAACAGCACCTTACAAGAGTATTTAGCCTACAGTTACGTGAGAAAAAACAAAACTGCTGTATAAAAACTCTTTCATAAACTTCTAAAAATCTTAATAAATAAATCGGTAAAAATATTATCTGTGATATGTAGGTCACATTTGTTTAAAAAATCTTACTGCACAGGGCAACAATAAAAATTCATCTGTTCACAAATACATGACATTAATTCAATTCAAATTCTCTCAAATTAAAAAAAAAATTAATTCAAATGAACAATAGCACTCCAAACAAATGTTACTGAACAAAAAGGCAATTGAAAATCAATTACAAATTTCACTGTCAAATCACAAAACAAATTATTTTCAGAATTAATTTGCATACAAAGAAAAGTAAAATAGATCAAAGTTTCCAAAAACTTTTCCATTATTCAGAGCAACAGGAACAAATGACTGAAAACAATTTTTTTAAGATTCAAAAATTGGCATTGAAAAAACATTGTCTTTTTGATTGTTTTATTAATTTCAGCTTTTAAAATCAAATGCAATGTATTTTATTTGCTTGTTCGTGTTTCATAGTCCACAGCACAGCATTGTCTATCAACTATATGAATGTCGAAGTTGAAATACTTTGTTTCCTTCACAATGAGAAATGGATGTTAAAAATATTTGAACAATAATTTCTACTTTTATCTTACAAAAAGCAAGATTCACTTTTACCGATAAAATATTTCTTCCCATGACTTGCATTCTCATTTCTTTGTATGCCCTATTCTGTCTGTTGGAGGTGTAGGAGCACAGAAATAAAAGGCTTTTACAGTTGTCTCCTATTAATTCTTTCTTCAAAGACAAACATTAAGCTGTCCAGAGCACTATAGTAATTTTTTCTCACAAAAGATGTTTGATTGGCACTCAGCAATGAGTGAAGGAAGCACGTCTAAACACCATAGTTAAATTTTTTAGATTTAAAGAATCTACACCAATTCTGCATTTATGGTACATGAGGCTTTATGTTATGATGCAAGTTAGATGGCAATTTGGGTTGCTGAAGGAAAAGTGGGATTACAGACAAGTCTCTTGGAGGAGGAGAATACCTAAGGCATTGTTGGTTGGTAGGTGGTTTCAAGGGAAGGCCAGTGTTGGAATTCCACCGGTGACAGGATATTCACAAGAAACATAGGTGGGTGATAGAATTAAATTGTGACTTTCATTGTGTGGATAAGAATAGATACATTGCAGGGTTTAAAGAGGAAAGTACCATAACGTGGGGTGAATTGCAACAAATCTGAATTGAAGTAAAGTAAAGATGTCGAATTGCTTCTTACATCACGCTGTTACTGAGAGAACACCTGTCTTCATTACTAGGATTTGGATACTACATAAGTTGGTGAGATTTTTTTATTTTTTTTTATTAGTATCTGTGAATGCTCAGGAAGGGGCAAGAGATGAATTATGGTTGACTTGGAATAAGGTAGGTTCTGGGATGAGACGATACTGCTAATAGCAGTGCGGGTTGTGTTTTTGAAGTGAGTCTTTTGGCCTGATAATTAGTTGTGGTCTGTTTTCTTGTTCCAATCTGCCCTCTTGATTTTTATTACATGGGAAAAAGAATTAAAGTGCAAGGCATGAAGGGAATGCTTTTTATGGGCTTAACTGGGTGGATTTTTGAGGATATGGTGGTGGAAATTTATTAGGTTTTCTAAAACGGATTGATTGAGTAGTTCTAGATGTAGGTGGTTACTGGTTAATGAATATGGGTGAGGGGGTGTGGGCTTTCATGGAATCATAATCATGAATGATTATGATGTTTTTATTCAGGTTTTGTTTGGGAGGAGTGGTGGGTGTTACGATAGGCCAGCTGTAAGCGTTAAAGATGATATTTTTCTTGATTGTGTGGGAGAAGAGTTGGAATAGATAATTTGTTAAGTGGTAGGCTTTTATGGAAGTTAGTTAGATGTGTTGGGAACAAAGGAATGTTTAGAAGAAGGTAAAACAAAGATATTTGATATGACTTTTCCATGGAATAGGTATTAGCACTATTGATAAGAATGGACAATTGGATGCAGCTATTCAGTAAGAGATCAGGGTTGCTTGAGATTTGGATGGGTCTATTACAGAATGCTCCAAGGTCTACAAGTTGAAACTATAGAGGGTCATTCTGCAGTTGAATGATGTAGCTGTTTCCTTTTAACTCTGAGCGGGTGGCTTACAAATTGCAGGGCCTCTGAGCAGCCCTCTCAGAGACCAAATTGTGTTTGGATGATGATAGAATCAAGAAGTAGGGTGCGACTGAAAAAGATAATTTTGTCGACGTTTTAGCAAGGACAAGGCAGATGGTTGGTTGCCAACGAAGGGCTCTAGTATGAGTCCATTTCAATTGGTGGATATGCATTCCCATTGTATTTGCTGTTGAGGTGGTCTACAAGGATAAAGGTGTACGGAAGTTTCAAGAGGATTGTTAGGTCAGAGGCAGTGAGATTTGAGGTTTCAGTAGGTAACCTTGTAGTAGGGCAGTAGTTGAGGTCGTCTGAGATGTTAGATTCGACTTAGGTCTCTAGTAAAAGGATGGATACCTTTGGAGTTTTCTTTTGGGAAACACTCAATTCTTTCCAAATCTTGAGAAATTTATACCTTCATTTAGTTAAACCCACACTCATGTATGCATCAAGTGTTTGGTCTCCTATATTTTTTATATTAAATGGGTAAAAAGTGTTCAGCTTAAATTCTTCAGTTATTTAACTGACACATATATCAGAAACCCTTCATCACTCACCCCATACATCACTGATTTCACTGATATATCAACCATCTATGAGGATGAACGTATCAAATTTTTATCAAAACATTTCAAAGGTAATTTTTTTTAAATTCTGACATTTTGCTTCAAAACTAGGCACTTTAATACTATTCCCCCTCCCAAAAAAGTTTCTTTTCTTTACTGTTTTGACCTTTATAATTAGAAATATTGACTGTCCTGATATTTTGGCTCAATTACAGTTTGATATTCCCAATAAAATTAGTACAAGATAAAATAATATCTTTTCATCTATTTATAACTTCAATTACATAGACAACAACCAGACAAATAAAATGCGCAATCTTGTTATTGCATTTAATATCGATATTTTTAAATCACTCAATGAAGTTTTTGTTGACCTACAGTAATACTTAAACAACATGAATAGTGTTTATTCTGTATTTCGGTTATGCTTTGTAGTCAACATTGCATTCTTCTACTTCGGTAATAATATTCTTTTTTTATCATATTTGGACTAATTTTCCATTTAATTGCTAAATAAAATGAAATAAATAAATTAGATTAGGAGGGTTTTCTTCTCACTCTAACTGCCTTGGGCATTCCATGAGGAAAGGTTTAAGAAATAGAAGAAACCATTTAATTCAGGATACTAATGACTTTAATTGCTTTTGTAGTGCAATCTCTGTCATTAAGATTGTCAAGGAGGAGACAGATATATTGTTTGTAAGGAGTCTTTTATGTTTGAAGAATAGCAGTAGAGAAAATAGTTCTTTTAGGATTTGGTATGTTGCAGTTGTGAATATCAGGATGTGCAATGTTGCGATTGTGGTGTCTGAGACATGGTTTGAGGTTTAAGAATTGGGACAGACTAAGTGGTTATAATTGGGGCTAGAAAGGCAGTAGTCTCAGGTCTCCGGGCATAATTCTATTTTAAATGTAAATATATTTGTTTGTTGCAAACCTATCATGGGTTTAACACCTTTCCGTTATTTGCCCATTGGTACACATCTAGATAAGTAAACTTGCTGTTTTGACAGAGGGATCTATGGATCTCCTATTTGGTGCAATTGCTGAAGGTGAGTTCTGTATATGGTCAGCATCCTGCATGGTGACATAGGGGTGTGGATGCTGCCATACAGTTCAAGGTGAGTTTTGTAACAGTTTTCTCATAGTATTTTAGTCTCATGAGAGCAGTTAACCTTTTCATCTATCATTTGCTTCTTATGTTTTGTAGTTTTGCTTTGGACAGAAGACCTCTGAGGACAAAGTTTGTAGCACATCTCTAGGTGCTACAATAAAAACTGGTGGGGCAAAGAAGAAAAGAAGTTAAAGGTTGGTGTGTGTCTGGAGTTCGATGAGTCTGGCAGTCCAACTTGACATGCAGTCATGGTTCTGGAGAGATGACTGAATTGTCCTTTGTGAAGAGTGCATACAGTTTTTAAGTGGTGGTCTTCTATATATCTTTGATTGAGTTCTAAGTGTCAATAATGTCTGTGGTTGAAATGAAGATATGGTTCTATTTGTGGTCGGGTATTAAGTTGTTAGTTTAAAGTAATGGAAGTGGATCTTTAGGAAGGGAATGGAGATGGCATGTGGAGTAAAAGGCTTTCTGGCAAGAGTTGGTGATGGGATTGGTGGGGCTTTGGAGTCTTTTGTTGTGGAGATTGAGCAGATGGAGTCTCGTCTGAGGGGGCCAGCAATGTGTTGTGGAGGCATGTTAGTTAGTTCTGGAGACTAAGGTTTCTAAACTTATGTCCATGAGGAAGCACAGCCAGAGCTGCTCATGGTTTCAACCCCACAGACCACTGGTCGTTCATGAAGCATGAAGTTGACACACACTGAGTTGACAAAGTAATGTCTGACTACGAAATGATGTGAAATTCATACATATGAAAAGAAAGTAAAAAAGAACAGATGTTTGAAATAGTTTGGACATTATGTTTGAGAACATATGAAAAGAAAGCAAACAAGAACAGATGCTTAAAATACTGTTACAGTTAAGAGCCCAAGTGAGTTGTGGCGGACATGAGGTTGTTGGTTCCAGATCATATGAGAAGAAAGGAATAGGAACTAAGGGCTGACAAGACTGTTCTGGTGGCAATGCCAATTCGCAGTGCTGGTTCCATTCCATTCAAAAAGTGAAGAAGAACTACAGGGTTGCAGGAGTGACGTTGTGTCTTCGGCGGTGTGTGTTGAGGCTGCCCACCTGAGTGAAGGCAGCGCCGCACACCTCACAGCGGTAGGGCTGCTCGCCTGTGTGACGCCGCTTGTGTGTCTTCAGCTCAGAGAGTGTGATGAACGCAACACCACAAGCCTCGCACAGGAAGGGTCGCTTGCCCGCATGCCGGCGCTTGTGCACATTCAACGTGCCCTGGTGGCTGAAGGTGGCAGGGCACAGCCCACATGCATAAGGGCGCTCTCCGGTGTGGCGACGCTGATGCACCTTTACAACAAAAGAGAGAAGAATCAGTTTATAATTATTTACTCAGCACTGCCAACAACTGCCTGTCAATTGTTTTAACAAAGGTGACACACTTTTTATTGCAATACACACTTTCAGGTTGCAGAGATCTCACAATTGTTGTGCAATACTAACATTATCTGGATTCCCGAAAAGAAGAAGAAGGAATAGAAGAGAGAAGAAACAGATGCATAGATTGAGCAAAAGCACAAGAGAAGAAAAATTTAAAATAAAGAGAGAGTGTAAGGGAAGAAGAAGGGAGAAGTTTGCAATAAGATGAAATGCAGTGGGGGTTGCAGTTATGTGAAGAAAATTACATGCCCAAAGTACAAAATTGTTTATAGAGATTTTTGTTAAATGATATGTTCCAAAACAGGTCACATACATTTTTTTTAATTTGCATAGTTTAGCATTATCTTTGAAAATACAAATTCAAACTTCATTTGACAAGACATGTCACATTACAATGGTCATGCTGCGATACAGCAATTTGAAATTCTTATAATTCTTCTCATTGTTGGATGATATGGAGGCTTTCTTTATATGTATGTGGTTTCAATACATTTCACACATCGCACACTAGAGCAATCGTCAAATATTGAATGATATATATGGTACACAAGTATTAATTTTGTACAAACATTTCTATTGTGGTTGAGAAATTTTTAAATGATAAAAGGTGATAGATTAGTTACCTTATTTTTATGCTTCTTAAGGCGTAATATTGGCGTGGCTGAATGTGTAATTTATCAAAAATTGGAAGCACACTTCGACATAATCAAGGCAAACTTAAGTGAAATGATTGTTGCGTGTCTGTATAATGTGCTGAAAATGCAGAACAGATGAGATTTATTCAGGTTTGTTTCTTTAGTAGAAGTAAGAAATGACTACTGTTCCTATCTACCAAAATAATTGCAGATATGCACTGCATGCTTTTTGTTTGAATTGGTTTGGCTGAACGTGCAATGTTTGCCATAGGTGTGTGAGAACGCATCTGTTTACAGAAGTCCATAGCAATGTCAGCAGGGGTGGGGCAGGTGAGACAGGATGATTTTCATTGATATACATGGTTGCCATGCAGGGTATTTGAAGTGGTGAGTTATGAACGAGTGTGAAGAAGTCGCACCTTGAGGTCGCCCCTGGAGTTGAAGGCGAGCGCGCAGGCATTGCAGGGGAAGGGCCGCTCTCCGGTGTGTGTGCGGCGATGCAGCACCAGGCTAGTCATCTGGCTGAAGGCAGCAGCACACAGTGCGCAGCGGTATGGCCTCTCGCCCGTGTGCCGGCGGCGGTGCACCTTGAGGTAATGAAGGCAAATTTTATTTAAATTTTTTTCATAGTTTTTAACACATTTTTTGCTAATTTCATCGATTTTAATATCATTTTAATGGTATGTGCAACAAAAAAATGTTAACAAGGTGCAACAAATATTCTCCAGTTCCTGAGTAGGCTATTTGATTTCTTTGCTCAGAAATTGTACTGTCAGTCATTATGAGTATGTATGAGTAATTTAAGGTTTTTGTGTCACCTATCACCATTGTTTGACCTCTTTCTACATAACTTAAGATAGAAATTTCCTGGTAAAGAACAGTCCAAACCAAAAGTTTGCAAGCCGAGTTCACTTGAATGAGAGGAAGAAACCTCGATTTTATCATCCAAGAGCTGAAGTATTTATCAGAACTGGGTTTGATCAATTATTCTTGGGTTTTAGGGCATTTTAAAAACATTTTAAGAACATTTTATTGATCATTTTTAGCATAGACTTCTTTTAACATAGCAAAAATCATCAGACTTTTTTAAATTTATTTTTTAACATCAATGTTTCTGGAAAAAATATCAATGTGAAGAAAATATTGATGTCTTTTTGCCATCCTCATGGGGTAGCTCTAGCCCATCATATCTGACTTCACCCAACAAGCTTAAGTCCCCAGTTTGCAGAACAATATTAGTGGGAATTTAAAATCCAGATGGACGACGCGCCCGTGAACGTGGTCTTGAAGCGCCTGCTTGCCTGTCGGCCGCGCACGTACCTTGAGGTGCGCGGGCTGCATGAAGGCGGCGCCGCACGCGTCGCAGCGGAAGGGCCGCTCGCCCGAGTGCGTGCGCCGGTGGATGTTGAGGTTGCCGCGCTGCGTGAAGCGCGCGCCGCACGTGTCGCAGGCGAACGGCCGCTCGTTGGTGTGCACGCGCTGGTGCACGCGCAGCTTCGACGCGCGCGCGAAGCACTTGCCGCACGCGTCGCAGCAGTGCCGCTTGGCGCCGCCGGCGTGGGAGCGGCGGTGCGCGCGCAGCGCTGCCGCCGACGCCAGCCGCTCCTGGCACACGGGGCACTCCAGCGCCGCCGCGGCTGCCGGCCGCCCTGCGAAATACGCGTAGCCATGCACAACTTCCGAGTGCTTTCATGCCCCGTGCTACCACTCCCTTTCACTACACAATTATACATAATCCAAGATTATGTACATTTTCTAGCTTGTACTATTTTTATAATACAATATTTATGTGTACTCGCCTAAACACAATTTCCTGAAACAATCACTTTTACAATTTCTCGTTACAGGAACGATTAAAAGGCTTTTCAAATAAACTGTACAATTGTACACTCAAGAGACAAACTTCACGTAGATTGTTGTGGGATTTTTTCAAAATATCTTAACAAATTGACAATAGTTAACTTTGACACCATCACCTACTTAATATGTTGCAATTTTAACTCCTAAAACACGCTTAATCATTATACAGCATTCGAGTAAAACTCTTTCAGCGTGCGGATGTGTCACTGGCGTCTAGGCCACTTCCCGTGCACCCTCGGACATACGAGGTGTCATTCGATGCGTCTCGGTCTCCTAATGGGGAATTGACCATTTGTTTTCGGATCCGGTCAGAAGATTCAAAGAAACTTCCAATATGATACGATGTCAATATCAACATATGTCTTGCTGTCTCGCCAGATTTTTCTTTGTTTCTGCCAAATATACTAATTTGTTTTTGCTCTGACATAATTTCCAAGCCGCGAATTTTTGCATAATTTTTCTTCAATAGAAAACGTAATACCTAAGGTTACTTATTCATTTTGAGGCATTAGAAGTATTATATGAGAATTTTATATTGCCTATAAATGCCTATTTCACTAATAAATGTAAAAAAATGTTGAAACATTTTTCATCTCTCTACGTCTCCGGGAACACTCTTCTTCAGGAGTCTAATTTGAATATTCAAATTTAATTGTCATATTAAAATTGAATTTCTGAAGAAGAGGAAAAGTGCTCCTTGAAACATTGAAAGATGAAAAATGTTTCCAAAATTAACAGAACATTTCAATAATCTAAATTATGTTTTTTTTTTAAATTATTTTTTTGATTTTTTATATGTACAATATACGATTGTCTAAAAATAACATCTGGACAAGATAAGTCTAATTAAATCTTAATGACAGTCTGAAGATAGTGGATTTACTGTTTAGTAGTATACAGAGCCGGCGGTTGGTTTAAAGTCTGAGTGGGTAGATAACCTGGGGGAGGGTCTCCCCCTCCCCTTCAATTCCCATCGAAAATGTACACAAAGACACAAAATGCACACGTGTCAAAAATCTCAAATTGTCATGTTTATCATTATTTTGTCATCAAGTTGTTACCATATTTATTTTATGTAACTTCAGCGGACTTCCTTTCTACAATGCAAATCCAGCGCTGCGCTTTGCATATTTTATATAAACTCGTTTAACCATTTTTGCAATTCGATTTTGTCGGTCATGTCAGTATTAACGTGTAAAATGGCAATACTGATGGGCCGATCTTGCAACATAGTTCATCGCATATACGCTTTGAGTTAATGCAATACCGAGAAACGTCGTTTGTATGTGGAATTTGACGTTTATGGAATATTTCTCCCACCCGAAATTCCGAGCGGGTGTTTTACCCAATGGGAACTTTCCGTGTGCATTATCCGCCGGTCCAACCAAAGCATTTGCTGTGCAGTACCTTCCTTGGCCGTGGCCGCCTTGGTCCGGCGCTGGGGCGGCACGGGCGCGGGCGCGGGCCGCGGGTCCGGGTGCACCCGCTCGTGCTCCTCCAGGTGGAAGTAGCTGGTGAAGAGCGCGGGGCACAGCTCGCACGAGTACAGCGCCTGCCCCGTGTGGATCACCGTCTTGTACACGCGCCCGCCGTCGCACGTCACCACCGCCGACGCGCCTCCTGCGGGCAGCGGCCGACACCAGTCGCTACGCACTATTAGCACTGCCCCTACGACGCTCTTCACACTACACCACCATTTATTGGGTCGTACACTTGACTTAAGTCAGATGTTGCGGTTTTATCCAATATGTCGCTAGTGACGTCACTATCGGAACCTTCAAGCTCCCGATGGACTGAAAGTGTCAACAGTTGATTTACGTCAAGTGCACGGTTAAATAAACACTCTTCATACTCTTAAGCAGTTCCGGAGCTAGACAATTTTAGTCCGGGGCAATGTTGAAACGTAGCTCCCACCCCAAAAATATTAAAAATGTGAATGTATTTAGTAATCAAATAACACAAATTCCACTGTGATCTTAAAATGCTAACATAAAGTAAGTTTAGTGAGTGTTTAATAAAATTAGTTGTTAAATACTACTAAACCACAAAAATTTCATTAAATACAAATACATTATTGTTAGATGCATGAAGTAATAAATATGAATTTCAGTAGAACCTATTTCAATGTTAGCGTCATTTTATTCTTTTCATCGAGTCCTACCTTATAAGTAATGACTATCCTCTGTTTAGGGTAAAAAAATAATTGAAAATTTTATGAAATATCAGAGAGCAACTTATAAAATTACAATAATTATTTTTTTGAGTTATAATTTCTTTTTCATTTTTTAAATAATTTTTCACCTATTAGTTTAATTATTGGTACCCCTTGGTACTTGCAGGGCTCTGGGAGATCACCCAGTCTGCTCATGCCTAGCGCTAGAACTGCTTTTAAGTTGTTGATAGATCAAAGTCAAGTACAAAATATGAACAGGGCAATATTCACACCTTTATTAAAACCCAAAAAGATTCCTCCAACTCAAAATGGTGTGTGTACACACATACACCATTGTTTCAAGAGAATTCAACAACAAAAATAGGTTTATTCAACAAATAATTGAAGTTTGATTTTTATGTTGTCAAAAAAGGTCAAGTAGAAAAATCTTTTTCAAACCAATCTACATTTAAAAATTCCAGATTACAAAAATGCTAGGATTTTTTCTAGCAGTTTATAACTATAAAAAACCAAGATGTGTTTTTGATCATGTAAGAAGGTACCTTCCAACAATAAAATATTGTTATAAAATATACAGTTATACAATTGTGGGCTGTATAGCTACAGATAAAATATTTATTGATGGAGAATAGAGGAAGAAAAAATAATTAAACAGAGCTGCATGTCCATTATCGCTTGCCAAAAAAATTAGATATTACTCTTTCAGATTTGAAATGTACCAGTGTCTGCCAAATTCTTCAAAGTGAGCATTATACGTACAGCAAAACTAAAACTTTACAGCAAACAATTTGGTTGTAGCAAACTTGTATCATTCTGCAACACTAAATTAAATTTAGGAAAACTGATGTATTGATGTTAATGATGTAGCATGCTTATCTAGATTCAGGATATTTTGGCAATAACTATGCAACTGTGCATTCTATGTACATTCTAATCAATTCCTAAATTCATTTATAATATTAATAAAGATTATCTGATGTATCATAAATGCACCTTATGTTTTGGATTTCCCTCTTTAAAGATCAATAGTCTGCCACCAATACTTCCTCCATCTTTGCTCATAATGTTGTTCTATCTCTTTAATGTTTTGATGAAACCTCTCTCCATTTTCATTACTGAAATCCTCCGGAATATCACGGAAAAAATCAAGGTAATTGTGGAGAAAATGAAGTTTTATTCTCATATTACATCCTAAATTCTTCATAGCAATTATTTAGGAAGTTCCATTGTTCATTACTTCCTGACTTTCTTTTACACCTGATCAGGCGAGCCTTTCTTTATCACTCATTACAGTTTCACAGTGTTCACATTTCATCAAATCTCTAATTTGAAGCCTCTGAAAGAAAAAGGAATTTGTAATAAATATACCGGGTGAGCCAAAAGTCACTACCCATTATTACTTCTACTCTATTATGGTTTTAATCTCCCATGAATTTTAATTTCCCACCAGTGACATTCATACATTATGATACTCACACACACATTAGAGTGCATTGCTAAACAAATTTTTGCAGTCAGATGTTTAGTAAGAGATTTGCTTACGTAGGTTCCTTCTCAATGTTGTTGATATAATGTTGAAAGAAGGAAGAGCTTTTTGAATTCAAAGATCATACAAATCTGATTATGCATTAATAACTGATGAGTGGAATGAACACTTTAATCCTGTTCCACCGACACAAAAGGTGGTATTCAATTTACGGAAACGTTTTAAAGCAAATGGAGCAGTGATGGACTGGCATAGGTCAGGTACGCAATCATTAAATGAGGAGACAAAATTTAAAGCATTACACGCTATTGTACAAAGTCCTAAAAAGTCTACTCATAGGCTTCAGATATGTGTTGTTGCAGAGTGAACACAATTTGAAACAATGTGCTATAAATGAAGAGAATAAATAACTCACATTAATGGGTAGTGACTTTTGGCCCACCCAGTTTATAAAGCATCCTGCAACATTAATTGGAGCCTTCACAAATTTGTATTGTACCTAGGATGATATGGAGTGGTGGAAAACAAATTATTTATGCACCAAGGGCATTATGAGGGTTCTAATGATCAAGCGGCAAAAAGCCCAGGGCCTTGGGCCCAAGGCCATTTCTCGCCCATGTTCATTAGAATCAGCAATGTCCGTGGTATATACAGGACTTTTTACGCATTTTATAGATTCAGATTTATTTATTTACTAATTAATTTCACTCGGTTTTGTCTTTTCATCTTTCCCTCCCAAAGAGATCATGCAGCATTACTCAACTGTTTTCATATTTTCCTCATAACCATGATCTTGTTGATCCAAAGAAGTTACACAGTGTATATCAAGCTCCATATCGATGGATATAATGAGCAATAACATACCAGTAAAAAATAAATAGTATTTTCACAAAAGTATCTGTATACATCTCGTGCTGTTGATAAAAATTATTTTTTTTTTAAAAGTTCTTTTGTATATTTTCCTTCAAATTAACAGAATGGGCTGCTGGTTCTAAGGGATATTGATTTTCATTATGGAGAACAGTTTTGAGGCTTTGTTTTGAAAAATCTATAAAGAACCTCTGTTGACTGACATTTATTGCAAAGTTTGAAAGCCGTGTCCGTGATCTTTCACAGAATAATAAAGGAATTCTTATTCTCTCTTTCAATATCAGTAAAAAGTTGTCTGGAGTGAGCATGCTTTTCTCCCTTAATTGTGAGCCTAAAACCTTCAGTAATTCCCTCGAAAGGTCAAGATCTTTCACTAAATCACGAAGTTTTTCTTGATTGAACAACTCTGGTCTAATCTCTTCGGCAAAATCAGTAAATCTGTCGCATAGGTCTTTTGCCTGATTGCATTTTCAGGTAAACTATTAGTATTCCTTTCATTTCTCATCAAGTCCTCATTCTGACCAAAACAAACGTAAGTAGTTTACACAATTCTTCAATAATGTTGGAATGTTCTTTTCATAATGTTGGAATATCAAAAGTTAAAGATTTTTTTCCACAGCAGGTCTTCACCTTAACTCCCAACCCATGTCTGCCAGCATTTGTTCTCATTTGGCAATGGAGTGCCTTTGACTCCTTTCACAAGCATGGCTGGCATGA